TTTGTCCAGACCTATCATAAACTTTCATTTTCGTTAATGATATTTACTATTTAGAAAAAAAATAGAAAAAAAATCTCAGTAGCCAATGTGGCGTCGCCACGTGTCCATGAGACCGTCTCATCGGTCTCTCTGTGTTGATCCGTATCACACCCATTGTCTCATCAAAACTTTGTTTTATTAATTTTTTATTCAATTTTTTTTATGATACCCACATGAGTATCACGCATAAACATGCTCTTACTCTTATCAGTTTTAATTGTAAGGAAAATATTTAAATATAGGATTTGATGTAAGAAAGTTGAAATCTAGGATAAACTTATAAATTATGTTGGTAGGTATGTATATTAGTTTCTTTAATGAGATTATATAATTAAAATACAAAGAAATAAATGAAAAAACAACGTTAAGTGTTTGGTTACACTTTGATAGGTTGATTTTCCTGTTTAAATAATGAAAATCTCGTGTGGTTGCATGTGGGTTTGTTGTTCAATAGAAAAATGTTAGCATACAGTCACATAAGCATATCTATTGACTATTTTAACAATGTATCAAATACTGTTTAATTTGAAGAAAGCTTGAAATTCAAAACATGAGAATTGACTTGTCCAAATGCAAGTGACATGCTTTTGCTACCAATTCAAACTAGTAAAAGTCCGATGCCAAGGATTTTTCAAAGCTCATGCATATATTTAATTTTTAATTTTCAATCTGACTATTAAATTCAAAGTGGTAGATTTCATTGAACCAATATGGAAAATTATGAAAATAATCCCAAAAAAAAACTAAAATTAAATAATAGACCACACATTTTATAATTAAAAAAATAGGCTAAAGTTTGCATAAACATAAAACAAATAAATACTCATTAAAACTTGAAAAAATAAAGAAGTAACCAAGAAATCTTACTTGTCTCTCTTAACACCAGAAATATCTGAAGAAATTAGAGCCATAAACCCATATGATACATGTGATCAGCTATTGATTCTGGATTTTTATCATCTCTTTTAACTCATTCAGCTCTTGTAATTGTCTATTTTAAATACAGAAGATGAAGTAGGAAACAAAAACTCAAAATGGAACAAAACAACTTCACATCTATAAGAACTTGTGTAATCAAAGATCATCATAGTAACTACATAATTTGAATCGTTTCATTTCCATGACAAATTCTATATTCCAAAACAATCTATGCACAAGAACATCAACAATCATCAAACGCATCCACACAAGAACAATTTCAAGTTATCGCCACAATCAATAATCAAAAGGCATGATAATCTTATCAACATTAGAGCGTCAAATAAAATAATGGCCAAGTTTTTTGTCTTCAATCAACGCATCGGTGGGTTTCAAACTGATCTCTTTACCAAATCATATGTATTCTTCATGAATGCGAATTACGAGAAAAAAAAAATTGTTTAAATCACAGACAGAAACTATTGGAAGCGGAGCATTCAAAGCTAAAGTTACTTTACTTTGAAACGAGTCCAGAGTGAGAGATTGCGGATGAAGCCGTAACCGCCGCGACATCACCATTCCGAGGAGGAACGGAGACGGAACGATCTCTATTGGTGACAGACGAAAATGATGACGTCGATTGAGAGAAATGGAAATCGGTGGCACTGTTGTTTTTCTTTGGTTTTTGCCTATTTCGTCTAGGGTTGGGCATGTTAACCGA